CCAAGACAGTTCTTAAGGCAAAAAGTGTCTCGGCCCGATTCTACCCTACACGCTGTTTCCCTAAAGAACCAAACGCATCCAGATATCTAGCCGCCATGTGCAGACTCCTTCTTACACAGGCACAAAATGCAGCACAGTACGACAGAAAACTCAGTCGTACTGAGAAACACAGACCCTCGCCGGTTCACGATAATGCGCCACATGCACAATCCCTTACCGGAGGATTTTAAACGGCCAGGCTGAGCAACGGTTGCCATGGCACGGACTGAGTGACTGACAGAGCCGATTTATTTCAGTGTACAACCGTGTAGGAGAGGCACAGACGACTCCACGGGAAGGAGAAAACCTATATGTACACACGGAAATGTGACACATAAAACATCCCCAAACTAATTCAAGGCAAGCACTGGATACAAGAACGCCCGCTTTTTCAGGGCAGGTAAGGAATTGAAAGAAGGGTTCAAACTGAGGGCGAAGTCGTCAACGCGCAAGGTTTGCGGTTTATGCTTTTTATTATCTGAATTCCTCTCTCACACAACACTTTGGTTTGCTTAATTTGATTATTTCTCATTAATTCGGCAACAATTCTTCAATAAAAAAAAATTAACAGAAGTAAAAGAAAGCAAGGAATATGGGTGGCCAAATCCTTTAAAACTATGACATCGCATTTCAACATTATTCTTTAATTTATTGGACTTATGTGGCGTTTTATATTTCTATGAAAATGAATTGGGGCTACCTTTGCCTGTTGGCAATAATCATCAAAACACTTGAAACATATACCTTTGTGTGTAATGAGTGTCAATTATATTGCCTTTTTTTTAAATTGAAATGCTGAAAACCAAAAATTACTTTTCAATTACACTGTTATTTATTGAAATGTCCCCAAAGGCAAATGGACCTGAGAACAGGTTTGGAAAATAGGGGGAAAAAACACACACACACACACACACACACACACAAAGGAAAATACATTTTCTGTAGGTTGTTTGAGTTTCCAATGATAGCAAATCTATTCCCAAAACAGACTACTGGAAAAAAAAAGAAGAAGATCTAAATGGCACCAAAAACGTAATCAAAATAATCTTGAGATAACTGTGCAGGTGTTGGCATCAAGGTCCAGAGAGAGCTGCCTCTCATGATAAATTTCAAAACAAAAGAAACCAAAAAAAAAAAAAAAAAAAAAAAAGTGCAGAGAGCAGCGGATGGAGAGCAGGAAAGAGGGGAGAAGAGGTGGACTGAGAAGAGGCGATGGAAGCAGCTGGAAATGTGCAGATGATTGGATGGATGGAGTGGTGTTTGAACGTGTGTGTGTGTGTGTGTGTGTTTTGTGAAGGTGGGTGGGGAGGAGGAGGCTGTCTCAGAGTCCACCTGTTTGCAGAGATAAACACAAGGAGAACCCATAAGCACAGAGTGTGGCTTTTGGGAGGGTTTGACTGACGGGGCTGACATTTAGAAAGAGCACAATAAACAAGGTCTCACAAATAGCACGGGGAACCGTGTGGCTAATACACACTTAGCGAGAAACTGTACACATCAGTGCAATACATCAATGGGTAAACAAAGGGGCCTTTGCATTTAGATGCTTACATGCCGAGCTGTGTGTATGGCTTGATGTCGAGGCAGCTTAAACTGATGAAAGCAGTTGGGACGAGGCAGCAGACAAAGAAAACGGGTACAGACATAAACACAGACAGGCAGACAGAGTGAGTAAACATATCTGCTCATAATCCAAAAAAGCAGAAATGTTCAGTGCTTTTCCGTGGCCGTTTTGTCTCTCGTGAAATGGCCGTGAACGAGAGGTGAAGCTGCCTACCTCCAGTCTAAATGCACCGCTGGAACATCCTGTTCTCGGATGACGCTTAGAAATCAACAGTGAAGTGGTTTGTCAGTGTCTTTATGGAAATATCAGGGTAAACATCGTCAGGTAGATAACTACCCAGGCCATTCGCATCACAAAAGAAAGAAACAAACAAATAAATCTGTGCATCAGAATGAGTCTAATCAGGCACGGACGTTATTATAGTAATACGAAATGTAATTTATTTTGATATTTAATATTGTAATCAGTAGTTATAGTGGCTATTTTTTATAATAATAATAATGATACCCTGTCAGAATCTCAACTAGACTAGGCTTTGTGTAAAGTTCTCTTTATTAATGTGAAATCTGAGTTTAGGTGCAAAGATTGGGAACAAGATGAATGCTGTGGACTATGTGGATGTCAGGGCATGCACTTAAATAAAATCCAGAGATAAAAATGCTGCTCAAAGCAAAGCTTTGCAATTATACTACAGTGGCATCAGCCTTGGCTACTGACATGCTGTTATAATGAGTCTGTATTTAGTCTGAAAACTGACGTCCTGGAGCTTCAGAGGGAGGTTTTGGATTTCAATCTCGCCCTTTCAGGTAATGAAAGATTTAGGTCTCGGTGGGTGTTCTGTTTGTTATTGTGGAGCAGGTATTTTCGTCCAGTATTTGGTTTGCAGGCTTGTACACTTTGGTACATTGTGATCATACAAGTGATGATCACTTGAATTTATTCTAGATATCAAGATTTACTTAGAAATTGCCTGGTGACAAGGGGTGTTTGATTTTACTCTGATCTCATCCTCATCTGTTGAAAAGTAAAAAATGCGCTAACAGCTCACAGGTCATGGCAGCAGCAGTCTTTAGTGTGAATGTTGTTACTGAAGTTTTCTCTCTCACACAAGAAAAAAAAAGTATGCATGGTAATATTTTCAGTCAGTAAAAAGCACAATCAAGGCATAGAAACTAAACGAGAGCCACTCTATACAGACTTACTCATATTAAGCTAAGCTAGTCTGATTGACTAGAACAGAGTAAGCTACAAAAAGACGGCTGGAGCAGCCTGGCGCTTTCTTTCTTTCTGTTTTTTTTTTTTTTGCGCCGTGACACAGTCGTTACAAAATATACAAAGCAAATAACATTTCAAAGGTGTGTATGTCACATTGCAAGTTCTAATGTGTCGTACAAAGATACGAGGGACGGCGTCACATGTCCTTTGAAAATGTGCAGCGAGTCGCATAGGACTTTTAAAAGCGTTGCTCGACATGCACGTCCCTGTGTGTCTGCAAGCAACTAGGTCACCCACATTTTCAAGGAGAGGATGTTTTCTTCAGGCTGGCACTCGGCAGGGTGAAACATTCACTGTGCTGGTTTTCAAGACACCTCGCAGCATGTAAATGGCTAACTGAAGCGTCGCGACATCGTTTGTCATAAAGATCCCAAATATCTCCGAAACAAAACAAGCTTCGTGAAGGAGACGCGCATCCAAGGATGCTGAGCGTCTTCTCCTTAACACGTCCTTTTTCTCCTCTTGCTTCTCAGTAGAAACAAAATCTTTGAGCGCTTTTTTCAACAATGACAAAATTACTGTTTATGAATGTCAAACGTGCAGAACTGATCATCTTGTCCAGACAATAAAATGTCTTGCAACATCTGTGACTCACTGGCACGAAGCAAAACAAACGCAAAAATGCAAAAAAAAAAAAATAAATGAATGCATGAACACACAGTTTGCTCACACACACACACACAGACACACACGGCACAAAGAAAAACAGGCTTCTGTATTCTCAAAGAAGCTACAGGGAGCAGGCTATTTGAGGAAACACTGACATTCTCTTGCTCCGTGTGGCACACACACAAAAATCCATAGTTTTAGCAGATGCATTCCACGCCTACAGGAGAACATCTGGACTTTGGGCTTTAACCTGGATGGAGCACAGCAGCATCTGCCGGCGGGAGAAATGTCAGGAGGACACCTGATACCTGAATCAGCCATGTATGGTAAATCAACATGCATAGTGTAAATATCAAAAGGACGGGAAAGCGAGGTAAACAGAGGGGAGCTGTACAATACGATGTTTTCTTCATCGGTTCCATCCAATTGCTTTTCTGGCTCGGATGCAATTTTCAGGCGGATAAGAGAACCAGGCGTATACAAAAACCAGAATAAATTTAAAAAGAAATTCTCATGCTTCCATGTAAGTGTAACCCTTTAAACAGAGAGTCTTAGTCCTCACACTCCTAATGCTAAATGCTTAATTGACACTGCTCTGTATTTATTGCAGACATACGAGTAGCCATTCTGTAGTCCCTAACCAAAACACAGAGGTCAAAGTGAGCATTAATTCATGGTTACTTTAGAGGAGCTGGAGAGTTCAGCAGCTCAGGTAGAACAACATGGCAAACATGTGAAAGACGCTGTTCTGTTCTGGTCAGACAAGACTAAAATCTAATATTTTGTCGTGAATTAACAAAACTAATCCTGCGTATCATAGAACGCACCGTCCAGAAGACAGATGCACAGTGAAAGTTACAATGGGATGTTTTAGGTGGGTTAATGTGTCAGAATGGCCCAGTCAAAGTCTCATTTTCCATCTAGTCTGACAGAGCTTGAGTCGTTTTGCACAGAATTTCAATCTCAAGATGAAAGACATTTCCTTACATTTCCTTAAATAACTTCCTAGTCTCTTTGGAGTTAGTTGGTGTAAATGTACTGTATGAGGAACCGTCACACCAAACTCCAATAAAATACGTCAAGGTTTGTGTTTGCAAAATGACAAAACGTGAAAAGGGAGTATGAAATATTTTTCAAGGTACCGCATTAGCCACATAGCACATATACCGCAACACGACACCAAACTGCACATAATGTATACGCATTTTCAGGCGACAAGTCAACGAGTCTCTGAGGGTTCAGATTGATCTCACAGGGATAACACTGACATTTATCTCCTCATCTCCTCCTTCTAATCCCTCTGGAAAGCTCTAAAAGTCGACCTCGGTGTCGCTAATTTCAGACACTTAATGAGATTTTTAATTGATGACCTTTTGAGAACAATTTCATACCACAGCTCATGAGAGCACAGCGATGAAAGCCAGCGCATTTAACACCAGCCTAACGCCAGGGTACTTTAGAGTATTCTTACTTGTAATTTTCTTGTCCTGGTACGAAAAAGGTGACATTTCTGTTTGAGATATGTGCCGACATTCTTTTTGTTTTGTTTTGTTTCGATTCTACTAGAATAATCCAAAGGCAGGAAAGCGGAAAGTAGCCGAAAAGAAGAAAGCGGCTCCTTCATGAAAAACAGATCCGACACGAACATCCAGCAGAGTCGTGGCGCTGCGTTTCACATTGCATCAATAATCAAAACTCTAAGACTGTGTGATGAGCTGATGCAAAATCTCCGCCTGGGCTTCTCTTACCGTGGTGAGATATCACAACCCTGCTGCATGAAGGCGCCGAGCGAAAACCAAAGAGAATTGAAGATGCCAAACTCGTTGGTCTGTTCTGGGCTCTGCTGGTTGGCGTTCTGCTGCGTTGGCGTCTGGCTCGGCTGCACGCCGTTGGAGGCCGCCGCTTGCGTGGGAGTCTGAGGCTCGGCTCCCTCCTCGTAGTCTTCGGCGTGCCACTCGTAAGGGCTGAATCGGCTGACGAGGAAGAGGACGACGCTGACGCCGATGTAGGCGAACACGATGCACATCCAGATCTCGTAAGCCAGCGGGTCCAGGAAGGAAAACACACCAGGCTTGGACTTTGTGGGTTTCTTGATCATGATAGAGATACCCAGAGACATGAAGGGCTTGGAGAAGTCTATCACCTCTTCGCGGACGAGAGTGATAGTAAGCGGGGCGACGGCCAGATCCGCTTTCTGAGGGAAGAGCACAAACGTAGAATATCTTTAACAAAACAGCCATTTTTTTTCTACGCATGTCTAAGCGCACTGGTGCAACTGAAACAGATACAAAACAAGGGAAGTAGCTGCAAAGTTACAAATGTGCTGTACCACATTGCACATTTGTTTAAAAGGTATGTATTACTATTATCAATAGAATAATACCTCCAGTATAAAGTCTTTCTACTTCATCTTTCGCTTGTGGCCACTCTGCTCTCCATGACAGCTGCTATCACACGCAAAGTTCTCATGAACATGTTTGCATGTTATCAATTGGGTGTGCAATCTTTGCAGACTACGTGCAACATGCTGTCTTACCGAGCGTACTTTTTTTTTCTTTTTTTTTTTTTTTGCTCAAACAACTTAGCACTTCATTACGTGGATTCTTTGCTCATCAGTGTAAAAAATGTGAAGAGGTAAAACATTTTAAAGCCGTTTTACCTCCTACTGCAAACCTGACGTACAAAGTACCCGAGATGCAACACGTTTCAGAGTACACATAAAAAAAGACATGAGTCAGGAGAAAGATGTTTTTTTGTTTTTTTTATGAGTCTGGATGCAGTCGGGTTTTCTGAACTGATGTGGGGAGAATCTAGATTCCATGCACACATGTGCAATGTGCAAGCTAGCAAAGAAAATAGAATAAGACATAAGCCGTCCACTACGGCAAATTAAATTTGTTTTCAGAGGCTCTGCCATAAAGTACAAAATAAATAATGTACAATATATTCCACGTGAAGCAGCTCACAGAGTGCGCAGCTCTGGTTTCTAGGCCCCTGACACTCATGGGCTTGTTTCCTCCTAGATAAGTCTAATGACCTGCTGTTCTGCACTAGGTTGTCACAGTATGCTGGTGTGTCTCTAACCTACAGTGCTCTAACGACATTCACCTAAACTCTGCGACAAACGGACAACTGCAAAAGATTCCTGTAACTTTCACTACGGTTAGAAATATTTCGGTAACTTTAAACAGAAACCCGCCAAGAGGTAAAACCTTTATTTACTCACGTCATAGACCAGTTCTCCAACCATGCCGTTCCACTTCTGGGTTTCAGGGTCTTTGGCTCCGTACTTGCCGTCAGAAACGATCTTAAGCTTGTATTGGTAGCCCACGTGCTTTGCTATCTCTGCAGCCAGCTCTACAATGTAGCCTTCGTACTTATCGTTTCCTACGAGCAGTTCGTGGTTCTTCTTTTGCATCACATAGGGAGACTCCTGTTGGATGAAAATAAGCATTATTATCAACGTTGTATGGGATTGAAATTCCTCGTTTCTTGTTGGATTATTGAAGACCTAGCTTTATGGTTCATAAAATAAATAAAACCAGTTCAGTGCTGCAAGACGAAAAATCTGAAACAAATGTTGTAAATGCATCCCAAGTTACCGAGTTGTTTACTTGTATCGTGTTAATAGTTTGTAAGTTAAGTGTTTTTGAAAAAAAAAAAAAAAAATGGATTCAAGGACTTTGAAAGACTGAGATATAAAAGGAAAATCATTTCAAAATACAAGGTATCGTTTTTTTCCCCTTAATGTTTTCATTCTTACCCAAAAGCTACGATCATTGTGACTGCACTGCAACAATGACAGTGCTGATAATGTGCAAGCTAGCAAAGAAAATAAAATAAATAAAAATCTCAGCTGGATTGCGAATGCTGTTTGCAGAAGTATCTCTGCATGAGTTCAGGCTTCGCTGTGTAAGTCTGAAGCATGTAATGACTGCACCTTCGAGCCCTCTGTTCTGGGGAGCTTGTTTCCTGTTACACCCGCGTTTGTACGTCTCACACTGATTGTCTGGCCTTGAAAAATTACAGCTGACGTGACACCTGGGGCCACACTTCACTTTCAGAAAAAACGGTTTATTTCATACAGACTCCTGGTCACCTCCGTCTCAACGCTCCACCAACAATCGGAAGGTAGCGATTCCCACGAGCTGGGTGTCTGAGCCCGATTTAAACCAGGCTTTGCTGAGCATAGCGAATCCTGCCAATATGGTTCATCTGGCCGTAGAGATGTTTAGGGGATTCGTCATCATGCTGCAGCTACGCCTGCTCTGTTCCTCCTACGGTTAGGATCAAGGAAATCATTGCTTCACAACCCCGGCATCCCACTGGCAGACAAATGGCACACCAGGGAAATGCTGGAGAGAAAGGTCTGTTTTGTTTTGCCGTCATGGGGTATGCATTCACAGTTACAGAAAAAGGAAAGACGCACACTCACTAGAAACAGGCTGGGGCATACAGACCGTCCCTTGATGAGACATTGATTAAACACTTCAAGTCCTATCCACTGCCCCTCAGTCTTGTGAAATACAATACGTCTTTTCAGGAATGTAAACACAACGTAAATGTATGTGGAAAAACAAACGCCCAAACAATTGATGCGATCGGATTGAAGCAGACGGTGTTGGAAGCTGAAGCTCGTAAAAGCTAGCCCGTGTCCTTTTTCACCAATACAAAACAAGGCAGGGGCGACATATTTCTGTTTTACGAGCCCTTCCAGAAGTCAGTTCCGGTTTATACACATGCTGTGTATTCTGTGACAGAAGATTTTTAACAACGTAGCGACTGCAGACTCCGAGAAAACCCTGCATCCGTAGCGGCATGCATATTATCGTAGCATACATGTAGAATGCGCTTTTCTCAAATCTAACCCACGGCCCTTATCACCCAAATCTCTGATATATAGGACAGTAGACTTAATAGAGTCTTGCCAAGGGTTGTTATGTAAGCTACCGGTGACAGCTGAGCCGAAGAGAGGAGAGAGAAAGAAAGGATACACTGACATATTAAAGCGATAGAAGTGGTTTGGCCTTATAATGTCCTTTAATCAAACGCAGTGCTCTACTTCTCGCCAGCTGCACCTGTTATCCTAAAAGCAGCGCTGGTGCCTCTTAGTCTTCCCTTATTTACGCATCTTAAGACGGCAGTCACGATTAAAAGATTAGGGAATAAATGAGATGCATCGCTGCAAGTCCTCGACTCTGCGTGTCATGACACCAGAACTCTGCACCGCTGCTTAGTTCGGTCAATAAAGCGATCATTATTCCGAGCAGGCGTCTGTCAGACAGTGGGAGAACAGAATGCAGCTGGAGGAGGGAGGCGGAGGAGGGCGAAACAATCACAGAGGTCTGCCAAATTCATCGTGGGTAGTGAACTTTCGGGGAACTCCATCATAAAAAGAAAATGAAAAGTGTTGCCCCGACTGTCCCTGTGTCAATCTTTCTTCCCTGCTACTCCTTCAAGATCCCTTGAACTTCATATTTCGAGACTTACCAAAATAGTAGTGACTATATATGTCCTGTTCAGCAGTCCGTGTGTGTCATTATTGACCCTGGAGAGGCTGGCTGTGCTCACGTACTTCTCATCTTCATTCCAGTAGCCAACCTAAGAAAAGGAGGATGAATCAGAGGGGGGCCTTCAGCTCCTCTACGTACCTCTGTAGACTTAAAGAGGAAATTAAATGATTTATGAAATCACTAGCAGGAATTTCATAAGTAGCATTCGCTATGTAAAAAAAAAAAAATAATCGCATTCAAACAGTTCTTGAAAAAACACAAGAGGTGCCATTGTTTTTGTGTTTTTTCTACATAAAAACTAAATGCAGAAAACGTTGGGATTCCTATGAAGTCCTGCAAATGTTGGTATGAGTTTCCCACAGAAAGGGGATCATGACAGATTTGTAAAATGCCATCAAACACCAACAGTAATCATCTAAATATTATCATTTAACATTTCTTTTTTTTTTTTTTTTTAAACTGCCAAAATTATCTTGACAGTGGGAATCGAGAGGAGTGACACCCCAGAGAGCCAAACAAATATTTATCTCGATCTCACAACTTTCGCTTTGAATCGTTCTGCCATCATTTCTTCTCAGAAATGGGAGATGCAGTACAACAAATTATCTTTTCTTTAAACTTAGTTGATAGTTCACAAGGAAATGAACTATTATCAGGCCGTTGTGCTTGTCGTTCCAACTAAGAATTAGATATTTTTTATTTTTATTTATGTTTTATCCCAGTTGGATTATGCAAATGTGCTCTTTGGGTTTATTTATTTATGCATGTATGTTTTTTATATATATATATTTATATATCAAATTCATCATTACCAGAAATCAACCATCCATTTACTTTATTTACCCCGTTAATCCCGTTAGGGTCGTGGAAAGCCAATACAGCAAAACACTTATTAGCATTTAAAATTAGCCTGGAAGCAAAACAGTTCTTTATGTTAGTTAGACGCTACAAACATTGATGAAAGCCCAGAGTTTATGTAGCTAGTTGTTGACAGTAAATAACTAAATACATAAATAAATACAAAAAATAAATAAAACATGAGTTTATCCTCCTTCCTCTCCCCCCTCGGTCATTATTTTACCCATTTGCTTCTGTAAGGCGCCGTTTTAAAGAAATGCGAGCCAAATTCACACAACCAGAGCTGGCACTGGTGTCTGCATATAAGCTGAGGCTGTGGAAAAAGAAAATGGTTCGAAATCATTAACATGTTTCATCAAACCGGAGCTGCAGTCCTAATGAGATGCCGTGGAAAGCATCGGAGTGACAGTAACTTCCCACAATGAAATGTCTATTGGTTTTCACAACTGCTGTCCATGTGAGAACGTTTTTATGTTTATGTTTTCGCGATGGCAAGCACTTTGAACTGGCGCGTTGCTGAAATGTACTATGCAAATAAACTTGATTGATTGATTGATTGACTGATTCTTTTATGTAAAAACATAGACAGATATGGCATGGAGACGTCTTTGAGGAAACATCGCTCTCAATATTCCAGATGATAAATTACCAAATTCATTTCTGCCCGATCAGGAGCGACGTGTGTGCTAGTTTAACTACTTAAAGAGCTTTTATCGACTTGTTATACCTGTGCAACCTTAAAAATAAAAGGCGGAAAGTGATAACATTCATTGCGATACACGAATAAAAGCCACTCGTTTAAATTATGTTATCCTCGTCTCTTGACCCTTACTAAATACTTGTCTCATTTAGTAAAAAAAAAAGAAAAGAAAAAAAAGGGGGGCATGAAATGTCTGATTAAAATTGGCTGAATAGATATTACAACAAGAAATTCACAACAACAAAAAAAAGCATACTAACACCGAGTGTGAATTAATCAGAGATTTTGAATAGCGTGAATGTGTCATTTAAAGCTGTGGAGCTTAGGACTGCTATTTACTTTGTGGTTTTCTACCATCAGGGTGCAAGAACTTCAAATAAACCTTTGACATGCATTATTCATGCAGCCTCTTTTCATGCTAAATCTTTCTCACTGTTGTTACAAGCCAATTTTATCCGCATGCGTCAATTAGCAATTTTCTTGGTACGTTCAAACCTAAAAAAATATTTCACTTTATACCAGCTTCACTATAAGAAACTATTCCACCTGCTCCTTCTACTAAATTTAACCAATACACACGTTTCCTCTCATCTTGAATGGACTAAACTGTGGTAAAGCGTAAGGATATGTTGCATTTTCACATTTCGAGTTCATAAACTTCAGAAAAAGTGTGAGTTATTTGCAGGAGAAGATTTCTTTTCAGACGAGTCTTATTCCACTGATAAGGGCCTTTTTGCTGCCTGACTGACCCAGAGCAAATATAACTGCAATTTGTACGCGACAAATTTGACCACAGGTCTTTCTTGAGCTCATCGAAGTACGCAGGAGAAAACGAGCCGGATTATTGAGATATTACCGTTGCAAGCGCAACTTTTGTGGCTCCTCGGGCACGAATGAATGTCTGAGACCGGATGCCTCGGGCTTACCTTCTTGGGTCCGGACGGGGCCAGTTCCATGACACTGACAGTATAGTTGGTTCTGCGACCCTTCTCGTTGAACTGTATGTGACCGGTCAGTCCGTCAATTTGAACCTGTAAAGATGCCACACGTACACAGACGCTCACGCTGAGGCTGAAACACAGACGGCCGTACGCGGCCAACGTCGTGACGAATCAAACAGAAAACGTTAGCGATGCCATTTAAAAATAGTCTGTGACGTGTTTCTACAGTACACGTTTGTGGACGTCCGCGCCGCTCGTGTCCCCGTAGAGGTGAATGACAGACGGTGTGCATGTATGCATACAGTGCAGTGTGTTTGTCTTGGCTTGGTGATGGAGTTAATTGAGCGAACACGGCTCCGAGCTCCAGTCTGTCCGCAGGCAGATGGCTAGATTGACTCTGCACAGCCTCTGCAGACAGAGCCTTGGGCTCCAACGCATGCGCACATACCATTGTTTTTTCTTTTTTTATGCCAATGTGGGGATAACTCCATCTTTTTTTTTTTTTTCCTGTCTGCATATTTTCCAATATTGTACAGATAGCATAGTGAATATAACAGCAATTCTCTTCGCTTCTCAGCGTACGTGCCAAGTGGCTGCGTCTGGCCCCGGGAGATCAAGAAGGCCTCACAGCCGGGCCACCATTACCATTCCCGTGGCCAAATATTACATTTCTAAACTCAATTGTTGATGTCATATCCCATGATGATCACAGCTCAGTAATATTGCCCGCAGGTTTTGTTTACTAGCCGTGATGTCACATTTGATACTGGGGATTTCTCCTATGACCTAATGCGAACTTTACGCGGCAGAATGAGACCTAATTTGTTCAGCCAGCCCCGGCTCAGGAGCTATTAGCCAATCTGCCAGTCAAGGATTTCTTCACGTCTATGCAGAGTTGGGGTATTCATGACTCTGTGTGCGTGTGTGTGTGTGTGTGTGGAGTATTGTGTCACTGCGCATGAGTGCAGACCTGCTGCAAGGCTCTCTGGATATCTATGCCCTGTCCCCAAGGGGCTGGCGGGTTGGCGAGACACTCTCCAGCGTTGCCGCGGCGAGAGATGTCTATCCTCTGTCTCCTCAGGTACTGGAAGGCTGTGGACATGACTTTCACCCCGTCGTATGTCAGCGCGCCCATGTACTGCAAACAGATCATCCAAACAGACACGAGGTTTGCGAAACGGTAAAAAGAGCCAAGATGGCAACTGAGAAGTGAACTACACCTCGACATGAATTCTGTGTATTCCTCACATATTGAAATCTTACCCTATTCATTTGTCGTGCTCAAAGCATCACTACAGAGGGCTCTGTGTTTGATTTGCAATTGAAAATCTTTGCGGGTGGAAGCTGTTTTAACTTGGCTGAACATCAATGAACTAGAATCTCAGATCTGAACCAGCAAATTTAGATAAAATCTAAAAAGAAAAGAAAAATACAGATCCAAAGCCTTTCGTAACCTTTTTATGCTGCTCACAGTTAAATGATATAGGAAAAACGGAGAAGCACTGAAAAATGCCCTAGTAATTATAAGTAGCTGACTTTTAACCTGATCAGATTCGTTTGGCCCCTGTAGGCTTTCTACAGATAACAGGAAGGCTAAACAAAGAGTGGCTCTGTTATAACCTTGTGTGCTTTCAATGTGTTAAAATCCAAAATGTAAAGTGTTTCTCTCATATATGATATTCAAGATTTTCAATGGAAATCATAAGAGAATAACATCATTTTTTTACAATCACTGATGAAAATTTGTTGAATCTCTTGTCAAAAGCTTCTGCTGTAGGTAATCTTACTTGGTAACAAAATCATGCACTTTGTGCTACGATGTAACCTCTTAACTCTGAAAAAAAAAATACAGTACAAGAGTGTTAATAAAAAAAAAAAGAAAAACAAAGTGTGTGTGTTACTTTGAGTCCAGTCTTGGGCATTTTGGAGTCTTTATTGTCAAACTCCATCCACTGCTGGACGATGCGGCTCACGCTCGGCTCGGAGTTGTTAACGAGCTGGAAGCCCGTGATGTTGGCACCGCCTTTCCTCAGGTCTGTCAGGTCGATGTCCAGGAAACCCTGTGACCGACAGCAACACAGGCTTAGAAGTGAAACGACGATACCGACGTAGTTCCCAAGACAAGAAATGCAGGGCACTCAGTGGGGTGGGGGGTGAAACATGGAACAAGGAGTGGCTTGTAGCTGGCAATGCTAAGACATTACAAGATGATGCTACTTATATCATTTACATGAGATTAAGCGATGGCTAGTGCTGCACTTTTAAATACTTTTATGCATTTTGGTTTTGTAAACGGCGGCATACAAGCGGTTTTCCTGTGACCTGAGATTGTTTCTCCAACATTAGCACACAGCTGCTTCAAACTGCCAATTTTGAACTTGCATGCGCAGCACATACACGAGCATGACAGACAGCAATTCGAAGCCTCCGGTTGGTTGTTTCTGACCGGGAGTGGTCAGAAACAACCACTCTGCAATTTTGCAGATGGCAGTAGAACCACAGGAAAGGCAGAGGAGCTTGATTTTTTATTTATTTTTTTCACAAATTATGTGCCTCATATTCGAGACACATATTCTCTAATATAAATAATAGAATAATAGAACATCATGGCAACTTTAACAAATATATATATATATACAAACCTACGAGATCAACTTTGAATCTTGGCTAGAGCCTTTTTGTGTGGGCTTAGTGTGTCATTCCTCTGTATCCATGACTTATTTTGAAAGTTTTAATTTCTTCCAACAGTGAAGACAAACACAGGTTGCAGCATCAAAACTTCCAGTGGCCTTATTGACACACTTAGTAAAGAAAAAAAAAAAAAGCATGGAGATTAACTATTATATTGCTTGTTCAACTTTATGTTCTTTCTAGGGTTTAGTGTATATGAACACACTCCAGCGATTCTTTTCTGAAGGACAAAAGAAGTAGACACAGACAATAAGAAACCTCATTTCAAGCAGCACTAGTCCTGAGGTAATCTGTGACGGTCTGAATCCTCATAGGTTACAGTTGAAAATGAAAGGATCAAAATCCTACAGGATTCAGGGGGAAATAAAGCTCATGCTTCACACAACCCAGAACAGAAAATGGAAGAGATTAGCAGGAAATGTATCTCCTACTCATGTTTTTTTCCCCCCCCGGCTGGTATGTAGGTGTGTTTTGTTTTGTTTTTTACAGGACAGACAGAATAGAGGAGATGGAGCTTCAGTCTCTCAGCAGGTGGCCTGTCAGTGCGCAGAGAGGAAGAGGCAGGCGAATGGGAACGGGTGGGAGATTCTCTGTGGTTTTTAAAAGTGGAGTTTTACCAAATGAATAGAAAAAAACAAGGTTCTTCCTCGCATTGTCACTTGCTCGTCAGGCATCTAGCACAAAGTGTTTAGTGATTTCTCCTGCTTCTTTGTGCCGACATGGCTTTATAAAGCTTTTGTTCCCTCTTTGCTACACATCTGTCTCAAAATATTTGTTTTTACGTCTTCTGATCTTTAATATTCCTACAGCGATGAAAATGGCTTGCTGTTTAAATAGACTGAAGTAACCTGAAATAGCTTGACAGTTTAATTGCAGTACATTTGTTCAATTTAGTTTAGTAAAAACTTGCACTATCATCGCCACTAACAATTTGATTCGGATAAAAGTGAAGCAACTTTTTAAGATTTCAACTAATGGAAGTCGATCAGTTACCAGAATGCCCTGATCTCTGGCTTTCTGTTTCCCTTTGTCATAATTATGATGCAACGGAAAAACCAACTTCCTTCATTCACTGGCAAATAAGCTGGACTAGCATCCAAGTTGGCATCATCAAGTCACCATAGAAACCATTAGACGCTATCAACACACCAGATAAGCTAGAAAAGGTCGCTGTGTTTGCCAACAAATTACAATAAAAACAAATTTTCTTTTTTTTTTTTACACAAAGTTCCCAACACCCCATTTTTGCTTTATTTTTTAAACTGATCTGCTTAGTAATTTAGATCTTCCTGCTTCCATGGGACACAAAGAAATATCTACATACATTTTTACAAGAAGGAATAATACAAAGAATCAAACAGGATGAATCTCCTCAACGATTTTTGTATATACAATTATTTTTGAACAGTGGATTTATTTTTTTTCTCTCCCACTAAATTAATGTGCTAAAAATAAATGAAAATCTTTTGGTATTACACAAAGCTGTTACAATAGAGGAACGATTTATTGTGAGGCTCTTTATCCGTCTCTACCTTGGGGGTACAGGAAACCTGACAAAATCTAAGCTAGTTATTTTCAAGGAGTTTGGACGGGAAACTGCCTCCTGCTATCGCCGCTTTCTTTGAAACCGGTCAGGTGTCTGTGTCTGCATTTCTTGTGCTTTTTCTTTCGATCCATGAATGAATTAATGTCGAGAAGCGAGCTGAAGAGGTTACTATAGAAACTAGCCTTTGCTAATGGCGGACATGTAGGGGGGGTTTGGGGCTGGGGAGGGGGAGGGGGGCGGGGGGTCGTGTGCTTCCAACACGTACTGTAACCCCATTTAAGCGATGAAAGAAATTCAAACCGTGCCCTCCTCAGATCCTCACACAGGAACATGCAGAACAGTAAATTAGCAAAATTGAGAAAAGGTGCAAGGACAAAGACAAACTGTTTTAATTCTTTAATTTCCTTTTGTTTTTCTCTTTTTTTAAACAGGGCTTTTAACTGGGACCGTTATTAACGACTGCAGCCACTTTGCAAATCAGCCGCTCCTGCCGTCCGAGCCTTATCATCTGAAATTAAATCTGGCAAACTAGCCAGACAAGAGAGATTGAACCAATCTAAAGCCCGAGCGGTGAGAAATTGTCAGGGCCAGCGGCTGCATATTAATGTTGTTACAGCCCCGCACTTTCTGCCGGTGTCAGCTTAGACTTCGCTTTGCGGCATTTACCGAGTGCCGCACTTGTCTACGTATTATCGGCACCGAGGGGAAATGGTAGGAAAACAAAAGAGAGCGCTAATAGATAAAGCTCTCACAGACAGGCTCGCCTGACCCTTTTCTGTCAAACTATGTCTGCGCAGTTTTATGTTTTTTTATTTTTTTTCCCCCTCAGACTGTCACAGATCACCCTCCTGTGCTTTCGTCTCCTGGTGAACTGCTGTCGTTTCCGCTGCTTTGACAGAGAAAGAATAGCTGGAGTGGAAAATGGAATGAGAAGATGTAAAACCAGATAGTTCCACCCTAATTTATCGGGTGCGCGCAAGTCTATTAAACCGGCGATAAAGCGCTGAAAGTCAGGAACACAGTTAAAAGCTCAATTTATTGGCAATCCAAATTCAATGAAAGTATGAAGTAGGTGGGAAAGTGTGTGGGATTCTTTCTGTCGCTGCAATTTCTTACCAGGTTGGCGAGGATGTAGTGGAAGCTCTTTGCGTTCTTTCCTTGTTCTACAATCTGCAAGGCAGAAGGAGGGCGAGAAAGAAGAAAAATGAAACTTTTGTCACAAATAAAAACAAGTTTACAAAAATAATGCCAACATTACTATGCCTTTAAAAAAAAATGTGATACTACTGAGGTAAGTAGAGGCACAACTGTGGCTATAGTTTAAGGGGAAACTTAAAATATGCCTCTTCCTCGTGTGACGTCATGGGAAAAGCTCAAATAATCGGAAAAGATATTAGGAAGAGAATTGTGGACCAGCCTGAAGATGCCAAGTTAATAGTTTAAAACAATTATATGCAAGCATAATTCAATGTGAGTTAGAATTACTTTCCTTTCCTTTTCTTTTTTTTTTCTTAAGAGCTGTACATTCTCATATACATTTGCTGTTTTCTTTTTGCACATTCTGTCTCTTTTGGACTCTCAATTTTAATTCAAGAACCTAAGTAATTTACCAAAGCATTCACAAATGGTAGGAGTATTTTATTTAATTTTATTTTTTACAAATTCTGCACATGTTGGAATCAATGAACCAGTGCTTATAAAAAAAAAAAAGAAAGAAAGAAATCTGGTTTGAAAACATCAGTGTGTTTACAACATTCTCTTTTCTGGGAATCTAAATTATCTTCCATCCCCACCCCCTATGTTTCTTTAAGCTTTAGCTTCAGTCTTCGGTTCTCTTCAGTGGGAGAGAGTTTAAGGAGCTCTCATGAACCCTTAAAATTTGCATCACCTGGCCTTTGCTGACAATGCGCATGGACGAGCCATAACGAGTTAATTAGCATCCAATGCACTGGTATGAGTAGCACGGTGCTTCAGCTCTCTGTGTGAGTATTAAATAAATCTTGACCCAGCATCAACAGCTAGCAGCGAACTCCTGAGAATAATTCATGAATGAAATGGCCTGATTGCACGTAGCCACGCATTAATGTGTGCAAACGTCTCAGTGCCAAAATTAAAAGTTGAGGGTTTGTGTGCCAATGTCGTCAATATGCGTCACGTCAGAGAAGAACTAGTAGGAAAACAATTTGAAGCATGTACAATAACAAGCTTTCGTGTGTATGTGTATGTACAATGATACTGCAGGTCATGACAGAAGGTGGCATTTGTTATTAATGGTGACACCAGCGCGCAGGCCAGTCCTCTGGCCAGGCCTCAAGCGAGGAAAACTTGAGAGTTGGAGGGGAGTCACAGCCCAGCGCAGACAACAATGCACATGCCATAATACCGCCACAGTGGACTGTCAAACGGAAAGGTTTTGGCATCAATTTCCTTTTAATATTACATGCAAATTCGAAGAGTCACACAGAGTTCATTTGCAACAAAATAAGTTTTTTTTTTTTTAACGTCTTCCCATAATAAAACGCATCCAAAAAGCAATTTCCTATTGCAAAAATATTCTTCCAGGTGGCCAAAGGAAAAAAAAAAAAAAAAAAAGAAAAAAAAAATGGCATTCTTCCTCTATATGTTGACCCTCCGGATAGTTTCCGTGACATTATCATAACATCTTTTGTGTACTGTGTGAGATGAACTCAGGAGTCAGTTTAAAGGGCAAAGCAGGGAGAGGCGTTTCCACACGTCCGTGTGTGTGTGTGTGTGTGTGTGTGTGTGTGTGTCGCTGCCTTTGTCATTGTCTGGATGCACAGGGACAACAGTGTGGAGGCAGCCAGTGCATGTCAGTGATTGATGGCAGTCGTCTGAATGGGGAACTTCTCCGGTTCGGCTCCTGTAAACTGGTGGAACCTGATGCAATAACCTTAACTTTAGACACCGGCTCATCAATAACAGTTTTGCACAGCGGCCTCAGTCAACAGAATGAAACTAGAAATGTTTTTATTTTTTCCGTCTTTTTTGTTTTTATAAACAATATAAAAGAAGGAATCGAACTCAAAAATGAATAATATCAATGACGAAAAATAAATTATACCCTGTCGAATAAAGGTCAGTCAGAAAAAAGGCAATAATGAACCACTTCAACTTTAAGGGGCTTTTGAAATAATGGGTTATTGACTTCAGAGCTTCGCTGAAAAATGCAGCTCAGATTGAGAAGGAAGCGGTTTATCTAACTTGCAGTAGATTATCAATCCTTATAGCACCTTCATCGGTTGCTTGATTTTTAATCTGAGGATCCGGCATGGACTGACTGAACAGCAAAGTCAGCCGAAAAAACCGCATCTGCTGCACAGCATGTCAGCATATGCATGAGCAAATGATTCAGTCTCACAGCACAATGTAAATATGGTCTTATCTGGCAGAAAAAAAGACGGAAAACATAGGTATTTAAACATAAATAAGAACCGAAATAAGTTATTAATCACTTATTATGAAGAAAAGCTTTGTGTGTATTATTTACAAGACAGTCCTTACATATTATGGCTGTTAAGGTTACAATCTCGTGACCATATGATTTGCATTTATCATTTTTATGGATGCTTTCTCTTATGCATCCAGATGTGAGGCTTTATCCAGGGAGGCTCTTTTGCTTTGTGCAAGCAAAGTATTAGCAATCCTTTGGTGAGTTAGGGCAAAAGTTTGCAAATCTGCAGGATACTTCATCAGCACCCTGAGCAGCAATTTAGGAAAGGAAACTTTTGATTAATGACTTGTCTAATGAAGATATGGCTGATATTAGTGTACAGAGCTTGCAAGACAAATTATACTTCAGCGCATCAGACATTAAAGTACTGCTCACATCATGAGTTAATAATGCCAAACGTAATTCGGCTGCAATCAAATACTGTATGGACTGCATCATTCTGGAGCATTTATCATACTAAACATTTTTGTTACTATGAGTCACCAGCATGGCTTGAAACATCCAGTTGAGAAACAGCCCCATTATGTAGCCATAAAGCCATAATGAACAACATTGGATTTAAAAGGGAAGAGATATTGATATATAGAGTAGGTTTCTTTATCCAGGTAGAAAGCGCCGTGAACTCTGAAAGTAGCACGTCGGTTGCCTGCTTTTTGCAGCCATTAAAGCTAGGCTCAGCACAAAAGCAGATTAATGCGTTTCGATGCTGGCGCATCGAGTACGAAGGCTTGAAAATGCAACAATTGTACACTCGGCGATTGCTCGTCTGACTTGAGAAGGGGAGGAAAAAAAATAAAATAAATTAATGGGTCTTCCTAGAGAGGATTTAGAATTTGGTTTTTAAAGGACTCCAATCATCACCTGGAAAAATTTGCACGTTGAAAGGTCCGCCTAGTGAAACTGTTGTTGATAAGCTGCGGTTGAACAATCTGTGCTTGGCGGACAGTCGACAGTGATGCCAAGCTCTCAGGGTGAGTGGGTGACAATCCAATCATAGGAAATAAAATGCCAGCTAAAAATGCAATCACATTGTTTGGAATTGCTCCTATTCTTAATGTTCCAGAAGAAAAAAAGGTAAAAAAAAAAAAAAAAAAAAACTTGACAAAAGCACGGTTTTCCGATTTTTTAAAATTTTTTTATTTATTTTTTTTTTAGCAAATATAAGTCCGATAATGTGTTGCGCGTTTCTATCCTTTACTCTTAAATCCTCGAATAAATTTCAGTGCAGCCAACTGAATTTAGAAGTCCAGGTTGTAAGTGTGTGTGTCATTAAATCACAGTGTGAACGCAGATGTTCTCTAGCGGCTTCAGAGGGTTATTAGGAAGCAGTAGCGAGCAAACAGCACCGTGAGAGCAGTTTAACAAGGCAACCAGCAGTTTTGCACTAAAAAAAAAAAAAATCTGGCTTTTATAGAAGAAAAGTGAAAAAGGAAAATGTTGTTGAAAGCAAGTAATAAGAGTTCCTTTGATGTTTGACACAGGTCAAGTAGAAATCACAACAAGTATGCAAAAGATGGTGTGTTCTTTGATAAGGCCGAAAACAAACTTCTGGGTCCGAGTCTAGAAAACTAACACTACTAACACATCAATGGTCCCAAACTCCAGTCCTTAGCAACTGCAGCCCTGAGACTTTTTGAATTCACCAGCTGGCTGAATTAGCCATTCATCTTTTCATAAAACAGCACTCAAGGGAGCACCGCTCAAACAAAACCACGCCAGCATCATGGCAGCATCATGCTGAAGAGATGCTTCTCTTTAGCTGGGAAAGTTAAGGCGGGTTAAACCACAAGGCAATGCGACAAGAAACCCAGTTAGATGACTGTGAAAAAAAAAAAAAACAACAACTTGAGATTGGGGTTGGCGTTTCACCTTACAGAAGAAACAAAAAGCCTAAATATACAGGACGTATTACAATTTCACAGTTTAGATCAGATAAACTGGTCAAACTAGAGACCAAAATCCGATTAAGAATTTGTGGGAAACATTTGAAAGTTAATATTCAAAGATTCTCCAATCTCCATCCAATCTGACAGAGCTTTCAAGGTACGGGAAATTATCTGGCATGCTTTCAGACAGGTGATGTCTGAAATGGCAACGACGGAACTACTCAAGCTCTATCGTTGCCATGCAATGGTTTCCATAGCAACCATTACCCCCTCTGCACCTAACTCACTGGACTCAGTCTCCCCTGTCCGTGTGGAAGAGTTACATTGTTAGAAATATACAGTGACTATCAACAGGGTTTTTAGTAGCACAGATTTTGGATTAAAAAAAAAAAAAAAAAAAAAGCGATGGGATGATTGTAAAGGAAAACAGCTGTGGCTCAATGAGTAGCGATAAGAAAAACATATTTTTAAAAATAATAAAGTTAGACATAAAGTCTGTCTGGATGATAGATTTTACCACATCTCCACTAAAACTGATAAACTGAGAGAGAGGAAAAAATAAGCTTTATTATCTCTGCCTCCCTCAAAAGGAGACACATTTGGCTCTAGTGGCCGTAATTAATTTGCTTAGCCATGAGAAGCAGCTTTCATTCTGACGTCTGTGCTGCTGCTGCTTTGTCAAGCCTGATCAACACTGGATTTATTTTGTTTAAACCTAAAAAGTACAGCACTTCAAGTTAGAAATCTACATGCATCAACGGGCTGCTGTTCTAATCCCTGCTCTCTATTGTGTCGGGCCTCAGCTTGACCTTATCTGTGCTGTGTTTCCGTGTCGCCTGCTGTAATTTGGTGCTTTTAATCTCATTGTTGCACTGGAGTGTTCTTGACTGTGTCAGGGTTTATTTGGAAAGCCATTCTAAGATCATAATAATAAAAAAAAAAAAAAAAATGGATGATTTAGCAAAAATTCATGGTCAGATTATACTTTATTTAATTTAACATAAAGCATCGCTTTGCGGTGAGTTTTTTTGTTTTTTCTAAAGAAACGGGTCCTTTATTTAAAAAGCTGCTCTTTCAGACACCGAATATCGCTGTTGTTGCATGCTACCACGCTATCGAATGTTGTCAGTGTGTTAGCGTGTGTTTAACAGGTAACTACGGTTTGTCGTTGTGGATTTCTTCGCCAGTCTAATGTACTTTCTTTTACAACATAAGCGCAGCGTTTTTGGAGTCAAGCTTGTTGAAGGTCATGTCTGATGTTGAATAATGAGGAAAAACAACAGCAAATTATGTGTGGTGTTGAAAGCAGGTTTATAGTCTGACGTGCTGGTAATTATACAGTATTATAGCGATGGAAATTTTAAAATATTGCAATATATTATGCAATAGAATGTCAGACTCTTACAAACCTGGTAGCATCATACTCCAAATGAACTATATTTAAGAGGTTGCTAAAATGGACACCACACTTCAAGTTGTCATTCATAAAACCTGTTGAAGACAATATGCTGGTTTTCTAAATTTCGCAATCGATGCACGACTTCGATGTACTCCCTCGTTTAAAACCCCTACAAAAAGAAAAAAACAGACGCTGAATGACTTTACCTCTTTGAGAATGCCAGTGAGTCTCTCGGTCTCACAATCAATGATAATATTCCCCTCCTTCCACTTGTCCAGATCCTTGAACACTTTCAAGAAGGAGTCCCCCGTCATGCTCTCCACGTTGACTGAGGTCACCAGCCAGTTCTTCTCCGCCGCTGTGTCCAGAACTTTCTGCAGCACCGAAAGGCCTGCGCAGAGACAAAGTGAAAAGACGCTTCAGCCGCTGCAGGACAAATAGCACCCGGATGCATTCATCAAGGCAACTCCTGCAACGTTTGCCTCCAGAAAGCGAGTCGTGAGCGTCTGCCTCTCGCGTGCCACAACTTGAAACCCGATGACGCTCGCGTTCTGCGGAAGCAAATTAGAGCACCTTGTGAGCCGAGCAGAAGCTGTGCAGAGACCCATACTTCTACTTATAAGCTTATCCATCAGAATCTCCCCTGTAGCTTTAGTGATAAAGTGTAATGAGCGGGACAGTCCATTAAGCACTCTGACACTTACAGGTGTGCTTCTCCAGCTCGTGCGCCGCCGGCCTAAGTAATCACCGCTTTCACGCTAACAAATAATCGGCCCGGGCTTCATCGGGGTCTGCGTGCACGCGCGCTCACACGCGGCCAGACTTGTGTTCTTTAAGCACCAATTACAGGTGGCGATGCTCAATTACGCTGTCGCCGATATGCCGCGGAGACACTTGAACATCACAGTGAAGCAGAACGGCCAATGAGCTGAGGGCTTATGGTAAGACAGGAAATAAAAGGCGATTAGGGAACACATTGATCTTGAGCTCTGATTTACAGTCTGACTCACTGTAGTACTTCTGTGCTGCTGCTGGCAAAGGACCGATCAGATTCCTCTCAAGCTGGCAGTCGCAGTCGTTCCACAGAGTAAATAAAGTAATTTCGCCCACACTGAACTGGCTGCTGTAATCTAAATGAATTGTAGCAATTAGAAAAAATTGTGAGATGCAAACCAGCATTTGACGAGGTTTTTTTTTTTTTTTTTATTGCTTATTATGATTTTTTTTTTTTTTTTGCTACATTCATGACATCTTTAGAATGTCTGGCGGTCCAGTTTCTGGTTTATTAACAACAACAACAAAAATAAAAAACAACGCACACTTCATCAAAAATAGCTATAATAAACGTGACTGGCAAACATGAAAGATGGTGGCTTGGTCTTATTAAAATGCACAGCAGCTGCTCTCCAGGAAATTCCTGCTGCCTATTTGACACCAGGTCATTAACCAAAAAAAAAAAAAGACAAATGGCGTTCCAGCGTCATATATGACTGCAACACCTTAATAAATGAGAAAGCAAGAAAAATGGGAGGATGTCAAGAAGAAATTAGATACAGGAGCCGGAGAGGCATTCCTCCAAAGCAACATGGAGATGTACCTCATCTTTGATGGTGCTGTTTTTTTGTTTTTTTTTTTGTTTTTTTTTATCCTCTGTCGCTAATGAGTGAATAATTGCCACCCTCGTTGGTGACAGATTTAACAGTAGGTCTGTAACTGATGACAGGCATGGGAACACGGGAGATAATTAATCACTGTTGTGAAAAAGATCAGTGGGTCAGCCATCGCTCAATGGAGTCAATTTCAGGTGTCTTTAAAGCTTTCGGCAAAACGAAGCTTTCGGCGCCAGGCAGCACAAACGCTCTCAAACGTCACAGAGTGGAATTATTCATTCCCTTTTCTTGTAATTCTTTTTATTTTCTTCCAATACCTTTATTTATTTCCCAAAACCCTAAGGTGTCTCGAGTTGCTAGTTTTGTCGATTAGCGTGTATATTATGCTACAGCGTTTGAGAACTCCATTTGAAAGCACTCAAGATGTTCTAAAATTAGCAACTGGATTATTCTATGTACCAATTTCGGCAAGCCTTCCAAAAAACAAGTCCTTTACCACAAATAAAACGGAGAACATGTATGTTGTACGAAAGCCAAAAAGATATGATGTAAACTATTAACAATTTATTTCACCAGTTCAAAATTGCTATGAGAAGTTGAAGTAATTAAAAACTATTTCAGGATTTGCTGCCATGGCAGATACTTGGGACTAATAAACCAGCACCAGCTTGTTGCACTTCCAGTGTTGCAACATAAAAGGGCGAAAGGCAAAACTAACTATTAGGTCTCTGTATCTGTTCCCATGTGTTTAGATTTTTAGTCTGGATTCACGTGGAGCTCATCCGTTTCCTAGGGTAAATCGCGCTTTCATCAGGTTATCAATGCGGCCGGATTATCATCATTACAATATCCATTTCTTTATTCCATCTATTCTTTATTCCTCCCCTGCCTCTCCTTTCCTTTCGAATTGCTTTATTTGCATCAAATAGCATCTTCTGCTTCCAAACGTGCCTAATGCATCCGTATAAATCAGAGCCCGGCTGACAGGGAGCCTCTCAGGAGATACAGAGGCAAAAAAAAAAAAAAAAGGTCCTCCAAAGGCATCCTGGAAGTGAATAATATCATAATGGAATCTGGCTGTGATAAGCACCTTTTTAGTCAGAGGCGGTACATGGAGACCTGGGCATCTGGTGATTGAGAGAAGAGGAAAAATAACAGGTCGGGAGCCCGTTTCCTCAATACTGCTCACGATAGGGTTAATGGGTTAATTTGTTTTCCATTTGAAACTAAAAAAAAATAAATAAATAGATGAGCCACTCATTCGTCAAACAACATGGATGTTTCCAAAAAAAAAAAAAAAAGAGGAAAATGAAAGACATATGTTGGACATTTCAAGCATACCTAGAGTTCACTATAGCTTCTGCTGTTTAGGTTCTTTGTGTGATAAACAATGATGCAGTGTAATGGTAGAAGTGTTTTGTACATTTTAAGTTAGTTCAGGGTCCTGCTAAGGTCAGCAGAAAATGCAAAAAGGAGTACTTTCGTTTTACCCAGGCTGTAGGTAAAAAACAAACCAGCTAAGTATGAGTATTTTTGATGGAAACAACTAAATCTTTCTGTCCTACAGTGTTTGAGGTTCAACTCATGTGGAGCTCAGAGAAGTTCAAACCCTCCTCCACTTATTATTGCTCACATTATTTTTTTCACATATATTTTTTTTTTCTTTTACTTTCCATCAACTTATTTTATTATTGTTTTTGTGCAGTACTTTGGTGCAGTTTTAAATTTGTTTTTAAAGTCCTATATAAAGAAATTTGACATTGACATCTGTTTGATTTTTTTTTTTTTTTTTTTCAGTAAAAAAAATCTTATGCATTTGGTGCTTGGCTACCAGATGAGTCTTTTTTAGTTAAAAAAAACAACAACAGAAAAAAACAAATGTTAATCTGTTAAGACTATTAGCATGACAGCTAAAATAAACAGCTTACTGAGATGTCTACAATTCTTAGAATAATTTCTTTTCTCATATAAAACAATAAATCTAAACCGTAAAGTTTGTACCCAAGACGATCAAATCTTTAAAGGCTCATACATTCACAATTTTGAAAATAATACAAAAGAATATTTCCACAACATATTACACCTACCTATTTTTATTTTTTTTTAAAGATACAAATCATGCATAAATATTTAGAGTTAACATATGGAACCATGAGGAAAATGCATAAACAAACAAGACAAATTGAAGTAAATTGGGTTTTTCTTCAGGGCTTAAAATAACTCTGTAGGAATGGTGACTGCAGCGTAGTATCCAGGCAACTGAGGACCACTGATATGGATTTCACCCGCTTCATCCCACAACTCAGATACACAGAGGTGACCCTGGACACGCACGCACGCACGAATGCACGCACGATATCTGCCATTTCTTGAATAGATAATAAAGTAGCCTGTGGAAAATAGTCCCCCCCCAAAAAAAATATAAAAATATATATATATATATTTTAAATCAGGAACAGTTAAAACCAGACTTCAGTCTAAACGGAGGTAGACGTCTGTGAAATCGCTGGCTTCTAATAACTTTCTTATTTTTGCTCCAACAAGAAGTCAAACATACGAGTGCACAGGAGTCCTGCATGCTCTACACGTCAGCATCAGCTAAAAAGCACATATGGATATGCACTTGTATGTAAAGTGGGTGTTATTTTCCGTTGCAAAAAGCAGCAGGAAGCAACCGCGGTCATGCTCTGAAAACCCGCAACACCTGGGACAGATGGCACGGCATAAGGTAAAGCTTTTTGGCTGTACAGAAGAAGGCTGACAGGTGCTCGGGCTAATTTCTGTCTGCCTTTACAGGAGTTTCATTAAAATGGTCGAACTGAATGTTAATACCATTTTTTTACAGTTAGAGGAGGCACAGAGGCACAAGTTACAGCTGGTGACAGATTGGTAAAAAGACTAATATTTTGTTCTGTTACCTACTTTTATATGCAAGTCATTGCAGGTTGGTGTTTCTTTTTTAAGTCTGTCTGTGAAAAGACGACTTCTGTCGCCATGGTGATGTGACACACAGTCTTCTCAAATATTTTAGAGAACAACACACACACACACACACACACACCAAATGCTCAAACTAGCTACACAATCACCTTCTCTGGAAATGACCAAACCTCATCAACACAGTGTGAAAACAGACCTACCTGAGTCGGAGCTGTACATGTAGACGAACTTGTTCCACCCGTAGTGCTCGATGACTCCCACCAGAGCGTCCTGGAGTTCAGGCCTCAACTGGATGACAAACTGGTTAGCGGTCTCGATGGGGAAGGACGGCGTGACGAAGCAGACATGCAGCGCGCCGCAGAACGACATGAGCATGTTTACAGTCTTCCTGTCGTAGAGGCCAATGATGGCGTACACACCTTTGGAGAACTGGGAGCAAACTGGAAAGGACAAAACAGAAAGTAAGAAAATTTGGGCTTAGGAAAACGGCAAGATCAACAGTAAATAAGGGACTCTTGGCTGGACAACAAGCTATTCCGCAGGCTGTGGGAACAAGTGTGGCTCCTACAGTTCATAAAAAATATTTTCTCAAATAAATGTTTGGTTTTTTTTTACGCAGCGAAAAAAAAAAAAACTGACTGCAAATAATCAATCGGAATAGCTGCATGTAGGCTTTTAGCTTCACTGCTGTGTGATTTCACAGCGGTTATTCTCCGACAACCTGATTTAAAGTGGAAACTGCTGGAATATTATAATTGCAGGAACTTCCTTCTCTTTCTGTTCAGTCAGAGAAGATTTCTGTTCGCCCAGAAAGTGCCAGCAAGAGACATTTTCCATCTGATTTCTAAGTGTTTCGATGTACATAGAAGATTTTAAAGATCAGCAAACCAAGGATTAGATGTCTAAAGAAAGATGGAGTGAAGTGACGAAGGATACCTCTAAATGCTGTTGGTAACTGGTTGTTTTATTTATTTTGTTGTTGTTGTTTTGGTTTTTTTTGATGATACAGACAAACAGAAAGCCGAGTGACATAAAGAAACCTAAACTATTCATTTCTGAAATACTGTTATGTTAAAATCCTTTTTATTATGAAGGGTCTTGTTCATGAAACATTAAATAAATTCCATCAGCATTAACGAGCACCGACACAACAAAAAAAAAATGTTTTCATTAATTATTCAGATCAAACAATCCTGACGGACTTTGCAAATTGTATTACCTTGCTCAGATTTGTCGCCCTTCTTTAACGTCACTTTTGATGATTTAACTACAGCTCTAAACTGCATTTCTGATTAAATGTTACAGAGTTCAGATAAAATACCAAAAACTAACAATTAGCCAATCAGATTGCAGACATGTGCAGGTTTTCTTTCCCCGCATTTATTAAAAACAATCTACAGATCAAAACAATACATGTGTGGGGAAATCCATAACACAGAGGCCTAATTGAATTAGACTGAGCTCAAGAGTCAAATCCAATCAGGTATACTAAAAAAGATAAATAAAAAATTAGAATTGGTGGACAAAAAAAACAGGAACAAAAGAGAGACAAAAAGAGATTGTCATCTTTCTCTCGGGCGTTTTGAAGTCTCCCAATTAAAATCATGTTTATGCACCACTAGTGTGGCTCTTGGCTTCAGTGGAGGAGGTGAGGAGCAGAGAGGTTAATCAATGCATCCCCAGGGTTCCATTGACATTTTCCTAGCTGCAGGAGGTGGTTTTCATCTCTCGTTCGCTTTTCTCCCTCCGTCTCACATTTCTTCTCCTTTCTTTCTCTCTTTCTTTCTCCAAATCACTCTCTTTGTGCCACGTGGCGTTTTCTCCGCACCCCGGTACGTCTTAAAATGCCAAATTGATGTTAATAGCTTTCTTTTCTTGTAAGGTATGTCCTTTCGGCGGAACATAATCTCGCTGCGCTCGTGCGGTCTGGCCCGGACTATTTTCTGCTGAGGTGATGGGTGGGCCTCACTTATCTCAGTATTTACCAAACAGATTGAAATTCCTGCCTGGACCCGCGCAAAGGCCAGCCTGCTGCTCGGAGCTGAAGCGGCGACAGAGAGAGAGAGAGAGAGAGAGAGAGAGAGAGAGAGAGAGAGAGGATGGCCGAGACCCAAAACGCCTAACCTGTCACAGACCTGCCCCCTCCAGGCAGGCACGTGTGTGTGACGGAGATACAGGGAGAGAGGGAGAGAAAAAAAAATAATAATCAGCGCTATCACATAAAAATACATGCCCACACACACAAACACACACACACACATGCAGCCCGAAGTGCTCCAAAAGCCTGGTGAGTCACCCTACTTAAAGCAGCCCTGAAATAGACATTTTGCGCCTCGCCACACTGACTCAGTAACAGAACTATCTTCCCTTCATGGTCTGCACATGCTCTCACTCGTAAATGGATGCTTTTTGATCCGCTGCCTTCCACAAGCGTGCGTTACAATTTTCCAGGGCCGATTTCAGAGGTGTCCTCCGCGTTCTGCCTGGATGAAAGGTAATGAGAGCTTGTTTGACTTTTCGCGCGGTGTCCCATTACTCTGCCCGGGAGCAGGTTAACATGTTTCACTGAGCATAAGTCGTTTCTCATACCTGCAAAATGAAAAATAAAAAAAATAAAAATAAAAAAAATAAATAAAAATGTAGCCATGTGGCAAAGGGCCCCTTTCTCTGAGCTGGCAGGCCAAACATGTGTTTGTCTGCTGCGCATAAGAAAGACATAGACCATCAGTGAGACCAGGCAGCCAAAGATAACCTAGCAGGATAGATCAGCAACATAGCCAGTGTGTGTGTGAGTGTGTGTGTGTGTGTGTGTGTGTGTGTGTGTGTGTGTGTGTGTGTGAGAGCGGCTTGTTAGTCGCTACTCCACATGTGCGGTGACATTTGAGTCGGGCCCGAAACAACTCAAGTGATCTCGAAGACCCCAGCAACACCTGTCTGCCCTGGCATCCCTGATCACCTCACCACGGTTACAGCTGCCACGGCGGCAGGACCGAGGCTGCCATGAGCAACGCTCGGTTCCTCTGGCAGGGATTACAGTGGCTCCAGAGCTTTTGGGAGATGGGCTGGGAATTGCGACTGTTTGGACATTTTGTCATAATTAGCCTTCCCCTCCCTGAAGGATTTAGCAAATTTGCAGGGACAAAAAAAAAAAAAGAAAAAAAAAGAAGAAGAAACCCTCGCTCGGCTTTGAATAACCCGCGGATATTTTTAGGGCGATAACGGAAGATCTCCAGTTCAATTTGCATTTACATTCCAAACAAGTAAGCGATAATACCCATTAAGCACCCATCACAGCTATTATGGTGGGAAGATATAAACCAGAGGCAAAGTTATGGTGGCTCAAATTTAAAAGCTTTTTATGCTCCTTTTTATTGCCTCTTTTTACAAATGTCCCCTGGCTTCAGCTGTTTATATGCAGCACTAAGCTAGTCTGTTGAGAAGAAAAGCTTGGGCTCTTTTACTCATTTGGGCAAGAGGAAGCGACACTAATGAACAATCAGACAATCAGACAGAGAGGCGCAGAGAAAAGGCTTACGAACGGCCCTTTCATCCGATAAGTCACTGCTTAGTCGTACAATTTCCTCAGCTCCATCTTTACCAAATTCAGGGATAAAGTTGTGACCGCTTGCCCAAACATTGTTGCCAACAGATCAGGTTGGAATCAAGGCTGAATCCCTGGATTCATCTGGTAGAGACGCGCACCAAAAGACTTTCAGATGTAATTGGATGATTCCACATGTGAACTCAACATGATTTTACCTCTTGAAACGGTGTTGAAAACACTTCATATCGGCCATGTTATATATCGAAGTTTGTGACCAAACGTGAAAAGTTTTAAATGCTTTTGTAAATTATTGTAAGGGTTTACTTTCCAAACTAAGGGACTCTAGCATTCCTACACGTGTGAAAACTCCAGACTGGTCAAGGAAGTTTCCACTTCCACAAAATCCACGTTCTGTCTGCCTTCATTAACATATAACCACGAAAAAGATCAAATGAGCAAAATCAAGCAAAATCGTTGGCTGTGGGGACATCTCCCTGCAGCCAACGAATCAAAAGAAGAACTCAGTTTTCTTCCATCCATTTTCTTTACACCCTTGTCCCTTAGTGGGGTCAGGAGGTGCTGGTGCCCATCTTCAGCTAACGTTCCGGGCGAGAGGTGGGGTCACCCTGGACAGGTCGCCAGTCTGTCGCAGGGCAACACAGAGACACACAACCATGCACACTCACAACTAGGGGCAATTTGGAGAGGCCAATTAACCTGACAGTCATGTTTTTGGACTGCGGGAGGAAACCGGAGTACCGGGAGAAAGCCTACACATGCACAGGGAAAACATGCAAACTCCATGCAGCCGTCTTGCTGCAAGGCAACAGCTCTCCCAACTGTGCCGCTGTGCAGCCCAGTTTGCAGTTTGCACTGTGCAGTTTTCTTTTCTTTCTTTTACAATCACCTACATTGAGAGTCAGGAGGACAGCTCTCTGGGATCTGTGCTTTCACTTTCTAAACTTTTTTCTCTGTGAACAAACAAGTTAATTTACATTTGTTGTGGACAAAGTGTTTTGGGCTGCAGGACATAAAAAATAAATAAATAAAAAATAACAACTAAAATCCCAAAGGGAGTGATACTCGCACAACAGGAGGAGCTGTCAGAAACAACTCATGCAACTCAAGTCTTCCCTGTTCTGTTTCCTGTGCCCGGCAGCTGTTCCTCTGCTTAGCATGAGCCAAATATCAAATGACAGACGTGTCTGTGCCGGCTGCACAAAGAGGGCATGTTTGTGACAGTTTCTCCTGCATCCAAATTTCTGGATGATGGGATAGCTCACAAATGGAAGCTGTTGAGCAATGCCGAATCCCTTCGTATTTACTTATAAATATTTAACCGCAGAATTTAAGTTTGACGTGACAAGTAAACAAACATTGCATCAAACAGCATTTTAATTCACAACGGATGAATAGAAAATATGTCCGACAGACGCCTGACAGTTAAAAAAAATATATACGTTTTTAAAAAGTCTTTATCCAAAGATCCCTTACGTAACAGCTATTTCGTATTTATTTGAACACACTTTAATATTTACCAAATATCCCGAAAACAGATGAGGAAGCCTGTTTCAAGGTGTCCTTGAATGAGGCACCTGCCTTCCAGCTGCTCCGCTGGAGCTGCTTGGTAACCTGTGCATCAGGCATCACACGTGTTTTCATTTCAGAAACTCAGCTTGCTTAAAATCTAAAAAAAAAAAATAACTAAATACAACAGAGGTATGCAACATGTTATTTTTTTCATGTTTAATAGAGTAAATATGAACACATTTGTGAAAGAACTTACCGACAAGAAGTATCTGAAAGACATAAATGGAGCTAAAGCATCTTTTTTTTTTTTAACTTATACTTTTTTAAAAGTCAGACAGTAGGAGTTTAACATTTTGAATCTATTAC